TTAAGAGAGATACATTAAATATATGTCACTGACTGTGTAAATAAGATGATTTGGAGATGTATATGAGATGTTATAGAAAAATTAAATTAAATGAAATGGTTAACGTTCTACTTCTTTAATGAAGACGGTGAAACTTTCTGGACAGAACACGATCTCCCTTTCCGATATGAATGGTAAAGGGCTTCAATTTAAGGATGCAGTATGCAAGAGCTAAATCGGCCTTTTATGACAGTTCTTTTTTCTGGTCTCAAATGTTATATAAATTATTATTTAGACATGTACCAACATGAAACGCCCTTAATCAAAACGCCAGACCATCGGCGGATGGCCGAGATATTGAACGGATTAGACAATCTGCACCTTGTAACCTATTATGATTATAATCGACGTCGCTCAATGATATGACTGACAATTGGGACCCACAACTGCGCTCAGAATAAAGTAATTTGACTGAATTTTCCAATACATTTGTTTTTCGTGTTTTTGTGGACTCATGCAGCGACCAGCCCGTTATCTAAATCTTATATAATGCGTCATTAATTTTAAGTGGATATATTTTGTCGCCATTCCTTTCAGCTCACCCTTCTATTTACAAACACTTTTCTTTTATTTAACTCCATGCGACTTCCTTATTCGACGAGACGTGAGTTTACGAGTGTTACCCATTCTAATAAACACTTTGGAAATCGGAGATTTCCTTCACAGACTTGGTGGGTAGTTATTGAACAACTACACGTGATTTCCTTATTCATTGTGGGTGAATTGCTGTCCAATTGATGTAAAATTATATTCTAATGACAAGAACAAAAACAAAAAACAAAAAAACAAACAAAAAAACAACAACAATGAATCTTAATCGCTGATTAATTAATGAAGATTGTGATTTGGTTATGAAGGGTGTTCTTTTAAAGATACGTGATTTGATGATGTATTTGGAATAAAAAACATATTTAAACTAATTAATCTTTCAAAATGTTGCTTCAAATGTTCTCAAAACACTGTTTACATGAGGGAATACCCCTGCTATAAAAAAATCTATTAAAAGCGGTCACATTTGTGTCACGTGACTTAGCTGACGAAGTACAGAGCAACGGGTGCGAAGTTGGATTAGAATTCATTGCATACACAAGACAATGTTGTCTTTAATCGCTATCCATTTATAAAATATCGAATCCTAATTAAATTCTCAGATTATCCACTGCCCACGTCTTTTCCCGTGATTTTTAATCTCAGAAAGTGTTTTCGGTCTAACTCTTCATAAAGTTTATCAATCACCGCGTGCAACCTTTGACGTCACGCGAGCAAACATTCCTAATCGTCTGGCTGCTGATTAGGAAAACCCTTACATTTTTTTTCTGTATGTGCTAAATGAGTGATTTTCAAGGCATCCCGTATTTTTCTAGTAAGATTGGATGTTTTTACATGCCATATATACCAAAATTGCCATACTTTTATGGGAAATAACCACCAGATAATCTTTAATATTGCACTATAAGTAGGAGTGGCTTTACCATTTCCGTTTTTTTCGAAATGAAATGGGGGTTAACGTCCGTATTTTCTGAACAACACAGGCTAATGAAAACGAGCATCCAGTATGGCCGAAACTTTGCTATAACAGTGGCGTTAACGCATACTCTTAATCACATTACAATCGTTACGGCTTATGTTACGTGCACACCGAGGAATACACGCGTGGACCTCGGTTTGTCGTTTCATCCTAACTACTAGACCATTTTATTACCAGATCCCGGGGCCTGTACTACAGATAAACTGACCATCCTGAGGAACATTTGAGGTCAAAACTATCGAGCCAGGGATCTCCTGGTTAAGACTGACAAGAACAGCTGTATAGTCGAAACAATGAGGTCCTGTGTATACATTGGCAGTTGGAATTCGATATAAGAGTAGGCCACAGTGCCGCTCCCCTGGTAAAATTTCCCTCATAGCACACTGTATGGTGTATGCCCATCTTCATTAACCCAGTATAGGAGCAGAACAGTAGGAAGTTACACCCCATTTCAGTTCATTTCATTTTTCTCCTGGTTAACCTGTCAGCGCCATAACGATTGCGACACCATGTCTCCCATATTTATTTTTAGAGTTTTTATCTCTGTTCGGGCGATCATTAAGTTCGCAAACTACAAAGTACGCAGTTGTTTCAATACGATCATTAATAAATCCTGAAGTATTTACGATATTGTAACATCAATTCACACGTCCGCTGAGACAATAACTGAAGTATCCGCTTTTCTAATTAAATATAAATACTGTATAGTGTTCGTTTATTAAAACACTCCTCAGTTTACGGCCTATTCTAATCAATCAGATAAATCGACTTTAATATCTCTTGTTTATTGGAAACACATTACATAATTTGTCGAGTGTCTGTCATTTCTTTACACGTGACAGCCTACTCCATTCAAATCACGTGATAGCCTACGCCATTTAAATCTTGTATTTACAAGTAGGTCATATCAGGCCATAATTTCTCTCCCCATTGACATTTAATGTTGAATCCGTGACATTCCTTGGCCAGATGAACGTTCCAATGATCTTTATCAGCACAACATGTCACAATCACCTGACATAAATATTGCTATAGGCAGGAACGCTATTTTAGTAGGCGACCAACCTTTAAATAACGTCTGTTTACTGTCTGATCCTTTTTCCTAAACATCATGAATATTCACCAAAACCCCAGCAGAAAATGGTATTTCAAACACTCTCCTTTGATTCTAGAACAAAAGTTCCACAAAAACGGGGGGTTGGGATGGGGAAGAAATAAGGAATTGGTATAAAGGCATTACACGGGAAGCAATTACTAACGAACTATTGCAGAATTCAAAAAGAGGCTAAACACTCATCTTTTATTTCAATATAACATCATTTACTGTGACAGACAACTCAGTGCCATTGAGCAGTTTACTGGATAATAGGCGCTATATAAATACATTATTATTTTATTATTATTATTCCATTTATACTTAACATTTGACAGTGGAATTCTCCTTTAATTTGTTTGGTAGGATTCTCCAAACATTGTAAATTTTCAATCGGTGTATTTACCATTATATCTTAAATCTGTAAAACAGCCCTTTATATTTTTGTAGACTTTTCGGTCGCTGAATTGCTAAACCATTCTACCAATTTCCAAAAAAAAGTAGTCCAGTAGGAATCTCTAGAATTTGTGATCTACTTACTTGTCATTAATTCATGGAGAACCCTAGATCGGAGACGGTGTAGCACATATGACGTAATGTGTGGTGTGTGGGTTAGGTTTAAGGTAAGGGGTAGGGCTGCAGATTTCGTCAAGGTCTCGAGATGTAAACATGGATAACGCTAACCCTTATTTGTTAACCTCTCCCCCAAATTCTTAAACCTAACCCACAATTTTCATATGACGTCATTTGTGCTAGACCGTCTACGATCTAGCATTCTCCTTATTTCATATTATATTATTCCATTTATGTGGAATTTCCGGTTAGTGATATTATATGATATGCTAAGTTATTCTGTTAATTACATACACTTACAGTTGTTAACATAAATGTGCAAAGCTCGACATAACAGATTTAATCCAAGGTTGTTAATTGTCAGATTAGGTTAAGATATTGTTTACTGCGTTGAAACGTAAAGCGGATAGTTATATGTTTACTAGATAGATATACTACTTCCTGTCTCTGTATCTTAAGATTTCTTTGGTGAACCACATGTTGCTCTATCTGTGGTAAAACTCGCTCAACCCAACGAACAATTTGAAAAACGTTAGAGAAGGCCAAAGACAAGAGAATTTGCATTAAAGCCAATAAAGAATTCTCTGGCGAGCTGTGGGTAAATCGTATATTGGTATTTTTAAATAAATGGTTGCAAGACCTGGCTAATGCTCGATGTGAGACTAGCGGACGTTTAGTGATCTCTAGAGTTCGATCCTCGGGGATTTTGGGGTGTGCTTTTTCTTTTCTGTTGTGCCGGAATGAGAGCTTGACACGGAACAGCTCTAACCGTTCGGACGGTACCAAAAACGGAGGTCCCGTGTGCACTTGGCGTTCATGTAAAATAACTCTTGATAGTTGTATTCAATTGCTGTTCCGACAAAAGTACCCTCATATCAGGCTGCATTTAGTATGTCCGTCTTCATTAGCTTGATTGGAGCAGAGGGTTAGGACGTTAAACCCCATTTCATTTATTATTGATGCCGTGTGGATAAACTGTTGAACTTAATGACTATCATCAAGTAAATATTAATGATGTCCCTGATGACTGTTTTCTTATTAATGGTATATTTGTATTCAATCAGTTAGTAGACGCATTTAGATCTTAAACTAATAGATGAATCAGATATAATCAATGTTGGTAATTTGTCATTCTATCTAATATAAAGCTTCTACTAACCTATATTAATCCTATCTAAAGAGATGTCTTGTCCAATATCGTTTAGAAATCATATGAAATGGGGTTGAATGTCCTACTTGTCTGCACCGACTGGACTAATGAAGAAGGGTATACACCATACAGCGTAGTATAAGGGACATTTTGCCCGGATATAAGTGCTACAACTTGTATACTCTTTTATCAAATTGGAATGCCAATGGGTTCCAAGAATACGTAATATGAAATAAACGAATTGAATTGTACTGAACTAACTTGTATTGTCCAACGATGAATAACAGCACCCCTCAATAGTGTAAATTGTTTTACAAGATGAAGCAAATAAAATGCCCCGACTGGACTAATGAATATGGGTGATGTAAAAGCATTTGAATATAAAGTAATTTCAAATCGCACACACAATCGTTGTTTCTTTTATCGTTCAGAACATTATATTCACAAATTGCATGATTCTCATATAAACGAATTAATACCAACGGTAAGAAACAATAAAACTGCGACTTTTGGAATAATGTGGAAGGGTTTTTTTTCAAACATTAATCGGATTTATATTCAAGACCTATTATTTCCATATTATGTAAAACTTCATTGTAGTATGTTTTCTATTTCAGTTGCTCTCTTTGCTGTTGGCGCATAACCTAATCCGTTCTATTATGATAAATGGTAAGCTGTAAGCCTGTTTGTTACCTGGTAAAATAGGACAAGTATTAAAGAAAAGATTTGTTATATTATGTTATTCAAATTTATGGAGATCGATAACAATATGTTTGGGTTTTTTTACAAATACTTTTTTTTAAGATGTTCACAATGTAGTATTGGATAAATTCGTTGTGGTCTGAACTTTATAACAGGAAGAACTGTGCGATTTAATAATATGCTGTAAAACCGGTCTCACACACTGAGATTATTTCGCTGTGATATGCTGCGATTACCCACTAAAGCCTGCGAAAGGACAAAACATGTCCACGCTGTAATATTGAATAATTATATTGTGGTCTTTGTAATAAATAAGCGGGGTTGGATGGCCGAATGGTTGGCGCGTGCGCGTTGTATCATAAGGTCTTGTCACTGAGTCAGCTGGCATGGTTTCAATTCTCCGGTTGTCCGCGACCAGGAGTAGGATCGCCTGTCCAACCTCGTAGGTTTTCTCCGGGTCCTCCGGTTTTCACCCCTCTGCTAAACACACCTCTACGCGCAAGCGAATTATTGAAATAAAATTGAACCATATGTTAGTCCCGAAATGAGCTAAACCCCATTTCTCTCTCTGTGTAATAAATATAATTAAGAAATGTGATATTGTAAACAACCGTAGACCTTTGAAGAGGTTCGAAATGTTCAATCGTATTATATAGCTGATCTTAGACTATCATAGCTGATCGGGAGTAGTTGTTATCTACAAAGTGAAAAGTTACTTCGTATCATAGACAATCGTAGTGCATCGTGGTTAATCGAAGCGAGAGAAGGCAAACCTGGACTACAGTAGTAGCATTTGGATTGGGGGTTGTTTCTCTCTACTAGTGGTCGTAGAAACTAATGTACTTGAAGGGCTGATAGCCGCCCAAATGGTGGATATTGTAGCAGCTATTAGTGTTTACGTCTATGATTGTCTGTGATTTGCCATGTCACCATCGCTGTGATATGTCACCATTAGCAGTGATATGCTATGTCACCATTAGCTGTGACATGTGACTGTAGTCGCAATGTCGAATCATGGCGAGAATACCAGTGTGGGTGATTGGCTTTAATAATGCATTTATTGAACGCTGTTAATTCAACGCCGATGTGTTTTATTAGTGGCCCGTCTTCATCCGCCCAGTTGGAGCAGAACAGTAGGATGATGAACCCCATTTGATTTCATTTTTATTAGTGGTGCTAATGCATTTTGTACAAGATGTCTACACATTAAGCAACGGTATCAACCAGATACATGATCAAATCCCAGTGGATATTTTATTTTTAATAAGTAGGTCTCAGATCACACATAAAGCAACCATTTGCAGATCGTATGTTTGGGTTATTTATTAATCACTAGTATACTGAAGATTGATTTTCAGATTTATGTAGGGAGCGGCAGTTGATGGGTGGGCGGTAGTTAATATCTGTTTACTGTTTTTACGTCGGCATGGACGGTATTCGTGCCACAGAGCCCCCAAACCGATCCCCTACTCCGGATATGCAGGGGTAAAGTTAGAAACCCCTTTATGACATAGCCTGTGCACATATGTTGGGGGGGGGGAGGCAAACTGTGTCTTGCTGATATATATTTAATTTAATCGTGGTTTGTATTGGAGGACAAATAACTGAAATGGGGTTTAACCTTCTAATCTTCCGCAACAACTGGGTTAATGAAGTCAGGGAGTGTTTATTGAAGAACAACGGATGGCGCGGTTGTTGCACAAAAATAAATCCCTGGATTTACAAATGAAACGTGGCATTAAATTACCGGATTTTAAAGATGCAATATTCAAGAGCTAAATTTGCCTATTGCAGATCTTTCTTAAGGCCTTAAATGTTATATAAATTATCAATTAGATATTTATTAACATGACCAATTAGATATTTATTAACATGACAAGATCATAACCAACCCTCGGTGCCATCGGATACTCGAGCTTTTAACTAGATTAGAACAGTTCGGCCATTTAATGATTTGGGGAAGTCAGGCTAAACCTTGATTATACCAGTACCGTGGGTACGATAATACATAATTATTACTACAAACAGTGATGACTTGGATATTTTAATGAAATTTTTGAACTAATAACGGACAGCTCTTTATCTAAATGTTACATAATGTATCTTTAAGTTCGTTTTAAAATATGAGCAAATATTAATCTGTCGATCAAGTGTCTAGAATGAAAAATGAGCCTCCGGTTTCCAATGGCTTTAAGATAATTATCTTGCCAAGATTCATCTTAAATGACGTAATTATCCTATACGAACATGTATCCCAATGTATCATGTGTGACACATGCAAATATGCTGTCAGCTATTATCATTTCATTTTCATTATTTTTTTGTATAAAAGTATTATCCTGTACATTATAATTAAACTTATTAAACTAATTGGCTTTACCTTCTTTTTTTTGATTGAGCAGAGGACGTCTGCAACCTTTCGGCGAAATAAACTCATTTTGATACTCTCACATTGTCATGTGGACGTATTTTGTCATAGCCCCTGTCCGTTTGGACGTCCGGTCGCATTTGTGTGTAGACACTCTACAGGTTACATTTGTTTTATCCGATTTTGACGAAATTTAAAATATATATTCATATTCCGAAGTTCTCTGCTACCTTCGACATTGACACGCATCGGAACGTAACTTTATGGGTCACTGCTTCTGTTTGTACGAAAAATCGCGCTTGTTCACCCTCTAGTGGACGCAAATTTTGTTTTGATTTTAAAATTCAATGTGAAACATTTGAACAATGAGAGAATGACCCGCATATTTCCAAGGTCTTCGTCCATCTATAGCAAAATGTGGGCATGTCTTGCATGGCAACTGCTTGTTTTATATGTAATTGTAGTATTGAGTTAGTTTAGTTCTGCCGCTACTTATGGAGGTCGCCATCTTGGAATCTGTCAATCCATGCGCAACTGTCCAGAGACAAGCATGCAACTCGGGCTTTCGTCGAAGGGCGTTGCTCCCAAGAGGTCGAAGTGTACCTTGCTTTCCTGCCAAAATATGTTCCAGTTCAACCCGATGTTAATAGTAGACTATTGCTCCACTAAGCAACACGTCTTCTTGAGATGGGGATAGCAATGTTTTTGGTTTTAAGTATTGACCCGATGAGTGGGGGGGGGGGGTGTTTTGGTTTTAGTTATAGGCGTTTGCCGTTTTTCATGTCTTGTCGTTCGGGGTTGTACTAGATGATAATAGAATAGTGGCGTAGTCGTGATCTTTAATATATTTGATCGTTGTTAAACTGGTTGTCAGACGTCATTGGAGGCGTAGTTGTCCACATGTTTAGCTGTGTTTTGAAGATATTTTACTAGGCCATACTTGCGAATTCTACACTGCTCATCGAACTCAGTCAAGATATCACCTAAGAAACATCTAAACCATGTTTGCGCATTCTACCCCAACTGGAAAAACCGAGTATTGTGTTCCAAAGAGTTTGAAAAACCGTCGAACAGCTAAGCTTAAGCCACGATAGTCTCCTTTTGAACACAGACGGACAGCAGAAGTTCATCACAGTGGTACCCACTAAAGACAAGCAAGGAAAGCGCCTACAACGGGGTTTAAACATCCTACCATAATCAAAAGCAGAGATATTGTTTCCCAATATGTGTGACGGGCGGATAGGTGGACACACCCAATTCAATTTACTAGCCCCCTTCGTCATAAAGAGGATAACTAGCAGACGACCCTAAAGCAATTTCAAACGAAGTATGGAAAAAATCAAATGCAATGGGGTTTAACGTCCTAGCCAGACTGGGCTAATGAAGACGGACATACGCCATACAGTCTGCTATGGGGACAATTTTCCCGGCCAGCAGCACTATAGCCTACTCTTATATCGAATTCCAACTGCCAATGGTTCTTTTACTTGTACGCCAATGTGTACACGGGAGATTCCAACAACTGTAAAACTGACAAGGAAACTAACTTTAAACCAAGTGAATTGAAACTAAATCCGTATTTGCTAGTAATTTATTGGGCTAGTGGCGTTAAAGAATTCGCTTTGCGTCCTTTGTGTACGAATTCACCCCAATGTGTACACGGGACTGCGGTTTTTCCTCCCGTCTGAACGACTAATTCCCTTAATTGTTTTCTTCGAAAGAAAGACGAAAACCAGCAGACGACTCTAAAGAAACAAAGAAAGCAGGGAATCAATTATATCGTGTTAATGTCACATCGTTAAATTCTGTTTATCGACATAATATATCAACATGGCACGTTAAAAACTAATCATCTCAACATAAAAAAAACGCGACATTTTACATATCGTAAATTATTCACAAGGTACGAAATTGCTAAATATCCACTGACACATTTATGCCAATACTGAAATATTTATAGTACGCTAGCATAAATAACTTGTTCAATATTGACATGCAGGCGGTCATTTTGATGTATTCAACACGCGTTCATTGCGGAGGAATATATAGAGGGGACATAGGAGACAAATTTCGATCGCGTATTTGGCCCCAAGGGATTTATTTCCGTGCGTTTCCTGATTTTTATATTTTCTTCGGGAACATCTGAGTAATGTTATCATGAACAATGACCACCTACTAATTGCCATTTTAAAGTAACTGTCATTCGGCAATTATACAAAACAATAAATAAAGTTGTGAAGATCCTGAAGTAGACACCATCGCGCTCAGCTATCTATACCAATTTTCAAATCGTTAACATGAGTTATCTCCCTTATTGTAACTAATGATTTTGATATATTAGCCTAATTAAGCCAGAGGAGACCGAACACACAGGTTAATGAAGTTTTAATTATATAAATCTTTTTGCCTGAATAAGTCCTCCCGTAAAGTATTAGAATAAAACCAATCGGACAGTTGTTCATGTTTTTCGAGCATTAACAGTTTTTAATCCTAGTCTTCATTGAAAGTTAACAAACGAAATAATATTTCCCTTAGAAATATTGATGTTCGCAGATGTCATTTTATATAGGCAAAGTGAAACGATCCAAAGTCACAATTTTTTCTTCTGCCGATATATGTTATAGAATTAAACACGTATTGAACGTTTCAAGTATAATTGGGTTTAACGTCCTGCGTTTCTTCACCAACCGGGCGAATGAAGACGGACAGACGCCTTGAAGTGTACTATGGGGGCAATATTGCGCGGACAGCGGCGTTTCCACCCACTCTTTATCGAATTCCCACTGTCAAGTGACCATTTTACGTGCCATAGGCTCCGTCCTACACAACTTCTCAGGGGACGCCACCCTGACAATTTCGGCACATTTGTAGGCAAACACCAAGATCGAACCGCAGACCAGTCCTCCTGGTTAGTGAACCGGTGCCTACTCCCTGAACCACCGTGGTGCCCATAGCGTTTGCGAGCTGGCGATGTTGATGGTATATTCTATAATAAAATAGGATTAAATAAACTTGAATGAACGTAATCGTTATAAGTAGGTAGGATAAATGATAGCAGATAACTAATCCAATGTATCGTGTGACGGTTGATGATGCTTGCCTACTTCATATTTTATAATTGAACTACAAACTGGAACTACACCATGCATTTTAATAAATCGGTGTTTTATAAATATGTCTATTATAAATCTCTGCGTGTAAAATTGGCCGATATTTGGTCAATAATCAAATGAAAAAAGAATGGCATTTAATAAAATAAAAAAAACCCAAAAAACTAATATCTTTCAATACAAGCTGTGTATCATACTTATTGATTGGCCCGACTCTTCTTTGGTGTTATCACGTTAAAACTTAAAGACGAGAGAGAGAGATCGAGATTAGAGACTTTTGGCAAGCGTAATTTCCTGGTCCGTATCCGTATGGATTTTGGGTGTGACGTCATCAATGTCTGTGTATTTCTCATACGTGATACGGCACACGGATACGGCAGCACGTATGGAACGGCTTTCATACGGAAATGGTCCGTATAACACTGTCGTCTTTTTACCGTCTTTTTGCTACTTTTATACGCTGAAATGTTGCATCATAGCGTTTTTATGAATCTATGTGTATCCTAGAACACGAAGGTGTATATTTGATGTGATTTTAACAGTGATAACGACTGGAATTTAATCATTATTTTTGATGGGTTTTTCTCGGAATTTTCATATTTTTCCCGCCTGTCTGCATACTGGTTGATCTACGGGCTAAACTTTCTGAAATGATACATTAGTGAAACCACAAATTGCTAAAATCTGCCAAAACTCTAAAACTACATTGACGCAACGTATCACGCATACGATACGGATACGGGATACGGATGGGAAAAATCCGCTAGCCAAAAGTCTCTAATGTCCTTGTGTTAACGTATGGTTTATGCAAAAATACATTATTGATTTAATTGATATAAGAATATAAGAAAACTAAATTGTAGTCCTTTCATCTTTCTAACCAAAGATTCTGTTACACAGCGTACCTGATTGAATTCCATTGTATTAAAAACACTTTAATAGGAAAGGTGTATAGAATAACGTATTGTATTCCATAGAATTATGACCTGTATACTCGAGTTCAATTATTAAATGCCATTGAAACAATTTGTCACTGTACTTATCACTGTAAAGTTGTTATCATTCACTTATCAACTATTAACTTGACAGCTGAAAACGTATGACACAACCTGCATCGACTGGGCTAATGAAGACGAGAGTAGGCCATACGGTGTGCTATGGACACAAGAAGGGTTCTTTTGCGTGCTAGCAAATGTGTACACGGGACGCCGTTTTGTGTCACATCCAAACGACTAGACGTTGTCCTTGACAGGCCCTCCGATCTGCACCCACTGGTTATATCAAACCTCGCTGGACAATTCCTTGGAATTTTTTCGACCAACATCGGTGTCGAACTCCCGGACTTTCTGGTTAGCGATCCAGCGTCTTACTTACTGAACCACCGGGGCTCCCATATCTCATTCGGCATTTTAAATACGTAATATTTACTAGTCAGTTAAAATTGCTAGTAAATATACGGTTGTCATTAAGTATGTGTATTCTCGCTTAAAGCGTCTAATTATAATCCTCTACTCAAATCATCCATAATATTCAAAATTAAAAACACAAATTAGAGTTTAATATTGGTCCATTTCAATCAATATGGATTGTGTTATTATTGTAATATTATAACATCATTTATATATATAGGGGGATCACGGTGGCTAAGTGGGTGTTCTATCCCTGCATTGGCCGACAAAGTTCATCCAGATTTTCCGGCGTTTTTTCCCCTTGTCAGTGATGCAGGACGGAGGGCCTGACAAGGACAGCTGTCTAGTCATTGGGATGAGGCGAAAAACCGAGGTCCCGTGTACACATTGGCGGGCACGTAAAAGATCCCTTGACAGTTGGAATTCGATATAAGAGTAGGCCGTAGTGCCGCTGTCCGGTCAAAATTTCCCACATAGCACACT